GGGGAGTGGGGGATCTGATTTGCACTTCTCAACTAAACTCTCGTCCTCACGGCGGCTTTTCTTATTTTTTGGGACATTTAGGTCATTTAAGGCAAACTCACACACACAACGCATACACATAGACTCGAACCTTGGACCTCTTAGTTGGAAGCATAAGCTCTCAACCAATAGGCCAAGGAGAGTTGTGTCGGCGACTTTTCTTCCTCTTAAAAGCTCACTTCAAGACAAATCCCATGCCCTCTCGCACTAGTCGAATCGTAGTTTGCTACTTCTCTGGAATCGTAATTTGCAATTCATTGGAATTGCTGTCTGTGATTTTGCTCATTGTCACTAGCCGAATCGCCTCATTGCTCGTGATGACTTCTCCTCGACACCGCTTCCTCAAGATGATTAGATATTTTGCTAATGTGGTCGAATGATCTTTCTTATCTTGTTTGAAATGTGCTTGAAATTTTTATTGATTGTGATCGCTATAGGTTTTACTTCACGGGCCCAAATTAATTTTATATCAATCTAATCGGTTGTTGTTATATTATTTATTTATTTTCCACAAGTTTTTTTATTCAAAAATAAAAGGGACGAACAACTATCAGGTCAAAAAATTTAAAAAAGAAAATACAAAGCTGAAAAAATTGCATTAAATGACAAAATACAACTTAAAATAGAAATGAGAGCAATCCAAAGTGATGGACTCATAATAGACACCCGATTGTCATGCATATGTTGGCACAATTTGTTGATCGTGAAAGCAATGTTTGGACAAGTAATTGTCAAATATTGGAGTGATCCAACTAAGTGTCGAAATTCATCTGAAGCAGTCGACGGTAGAAGAGGTGGTGAGGTTGCTGAATTTGTGAGAAACTTTTAGAGAATTGGTGAAGAGATGGGTTTGTAATCAGCCATTCCAGCACGACGAAGAATCTAGAATGCATATGCAGTTTGAGATAGGTGCAAACCATTAGATAACTGAAGCACATGCATTCCAAGAAAATGAGAGATAAATCCAAGGTTTTTCATATGAAACCAAGTGGAGAGAGCATCCAAAAGATGAGCAATGGTTTGATCATTGTTGCCAGTAAGTAAGATGTCATCCACATATACAAGTATGCAAATAACAAAAGAATTTGTATTATATATTAATAATGATGGATCATCTGTACTATGCATGAAACCATAGTCAAGTAGATAGCTAGGAAATGTCTCAAACCATTATCTTGGTGACCGTTTTAAATCATAAATGGACTTTTGAAGAATACACACATGCTCAGGATACAATGAATCCTTGAAAACGGTAGGTTGTGCCATATAAACCTTATCTTTTAGCATGTCATGTAGAAATGAGTTGGAGACATCAAGTTGGAGAATCTTCCATTTGACTTTAGTAGCAACAACAAGTAATATTCTTATAGTAGGAAGTTTAGTAACCATGCTAAACGTATGAAGATAGTCTAAACAAAATTGTTGACTGCAACCTTGAGCAACTAGTCGTGCTTTATGTCTAGCAACAATATCATCTGCATTGAATTTGGTTTTGTATATCTATTTACATCCCAAAATGTTTTGAGATGGATGTGATGAAACTAATGTCCAAGTAGCTTGTTGTTGAAGGACATCAAATTCATCAAACATTGCTTTTGTGCAAAACTGGATTTTTAATAGCTTCACTATAAGAGATTGGGTCAGTTGAAAAAGAAGAGGCATTCATACTAACAATGTGTTTATGTTTAAGCTTTCCTATCCGAAGCCTTGTTACCATGGCATGTGTGGATTGATTTAGAGGTGGAGGGATATCTATTATTGTAGGAGGTGATGTATGTAATGACGAAGTGGATTGAGTTAGGAGTGAAAGAATATCATGTAATGGTGAAGTTGTATTGTTGGTTTGAGGAAGAGAATCTGTAGTGGAGGATGTTGATGTGTATTATCTAGTTGGAGTATAAGGAACTGAAATATGTGGGCTGGAAGGTTGGGGCATATTGGAAGATTGTGACATATTGGAAGATTTAAATCACCACAATTCTGGAGATATAGCAGTGATTTAAGCCGCCGCTATTCTGGACTTATAGCAGCGATTTAAACTGCTAATAGTACTGCTCCAAAATAGCGATGATTTAAACCACAACTAAAAAAATGATTAAATGTCTACCCCACCTATTACAAAACCCTTACAAAAAATTCCTTACAGTGAATACTAATTACAACGGTCATACAATAATTTTGGAACCACAACAAGTTTTTTGTGGCGGTTAAAACTGCCGCAGAAGCCCTTCTAAAGTGTTGTGAAAATCTTTTTTTCTTGTAGAGGTTGTTTTTACATTAAAAATTTGAATGGCCGTGCCCAGATCAAATGATTTACTATGTAGATATATTATAAGAGTCCTTCCCTCAATTGGAGAAAATAAAATTACAAAACATATAGTACAAGTTTGTATTTATTTAAATGTGAGGGAGAATACTAGAGATACATAAGTTATAGGGTATGAATCTAATAATGATTATATGATGATAGTTTTAGAGTGACAATAGTTGTACAACAATAGTTTGATGGCAAATAGATGATTGTTATTAGATCATAATGATTAAGTGACGGTTGGTAAATGACGAAGATTAGGAAACAACATCGCATGACACCAATCGAACGGTATTTATCAGATAATGACAGTCATACGATGATGGTTCAGAGAAGACAATGCATGAAAGTAGTTAAGCGATCACAATCAGATAATGTAGTCAGACAATGGCTAGTGGTGATTGTTAAAATATAACATCAAATAGAGTTCTAGAGTACTTTAGATCTCCAAACTCTCTCTAAACTTATGTCTAGGCCCCCTTCATGTGAAGAATGAATGTATATTTATAATACATTTCTAGTGAAAATAAAAAATAAAAAAAATAAATAAAAAATAATACATTTCTAGTGGGCATAGTGGTAAAGCGTTTCATTTCTTTGGGCTCATCTCATCAAAGCGTTCATTTTGATTATAAGCATGCAAAATTGGAAGATCATTTGGTCCTTCAATTAATGTTCTAAAATTTTCAATTATTTTTTAAGTACTTGATTTTGACTCAATTATGATATCGAATATCTTTTGAGGTTGCTGGGTTTATTTAGTCAAGGGGCTCAATTTGACTATAAGAAGTTGGTCTTTAGATGAATCTGAATTTAATTCTTGAAGTATTTAATATAATATTGTATCAAAATTTGTGCTAATAAAGTGAGATTTCTTGAGACTTATAACATTCCAAAAAAGGAAACACAGCAATTTTGATGGAAAGTAGGTAAAACCTTGCAACGAATTTATTAATGATCTCAATGATATGTTAAGAGCTTGAGAAAAGGTGAAGTTAAGAACACAATACATCTTGATTTGTTGATTAGGAGCTTTGACAATTAACTAAGAGGTGTTAAGTTTGAATCTTGGGTACGTGACGTGTACGTGAATTTGCCTAATTGACTCAAAAGTTCCCCTCCCCCCACACCCTTAACAAAAAAAGGAAGACAAAAATTGTCATAAAGATATAGCATTAAAAAAATAAATGACTATGAATTACATGACTACAATTGTATAAGACATATTTTTAACCATTTGAATTTCTTTTAGTTTAAAAAAAAATCTTTGATTTTCAAGACATCAATTCATCATTTTTAGATAAAACATGCATATTTAATGGCATTACTTTTAAACTAAATTAAATTGTTCCAAACAACATTTAAAATATAATCATACACACAGAGTAAGCAAGTTTGGTAGACCAAATTAATTAATGTGATTGAATGTGATAGTGATAATGCATATATCATTCAAGTGCCTCTAAATATTAATAGAGTTTTGGTTTGGCAACAATCAATTACATTATTAATGAATGTGATTGACAGTGATAATAATGTTGTGCTGGCTTTATTATTTAAGAGTCGCTTAACAATGAGAAATTATTTTGTGTGTTCACACTGTGTTGAGGGACTCTTAAACCGTCTGGAATGTAAGTGTACACACTATGTACACACATTGCGTACACCAATTTGATACACGCAATATAAAAATGTGTACACTCACATGTCTGAATGGTTCTTACCATCCAGACTCCGCACAAAATAATTTCTCCTCAACAATAATAGAGTTTTGTTTAGGCGACGCCGAACTATCTTCAGCACTTATAGAAAATGAAAGAAGGCATATATAATCCAATTATATCAATATATGATAAAATTCACTTTCGACCAAGAATCACAATAAAAAAATAGAAGATTATAATTGAATATATTGTAAGAAATACACTTCTTAATTAAATTTTAGAGCAATTACAATCATATTTTTCCAATGCATAAAGTCATCAAATTACTTCCAAATAGACCCATATTACCTTGGACATCATTTAATGAACATTTTACAATCTCTAAGTTATTATTGGCCTAATTAAAAATTCAATTAGAATTATTAAGCAAAAAAATTGCCAATATTATCTTCTTTCTTATAAAAGGTAATAAACTAAGAGATGATAAGCAATTTATTATATGCAAAGAATTAAGATGTGATTTGAAAAATTTCTTCCAACATTTTAAAGAATAATCAAATATATGGATCAATAACTTAAGAATTTTAAATAATGGATATAATAAATTATAATCTATATGTAAATGACAAAATTTATAATTTACTCCTATATCTTCTAGATAATTAGAGAATGATCTTAAATATTAATTCAAATTAAGAAATTTGAAAATTTTTAATTATTGAAATGAATATAATGTCTAAATTATTTATAGTATATTTTAATAAAATATATTAACAATTATAATAAAAATATTAGTCATCACCTAATTTTTTTTTTTACTTAAGCGAATCTCTAATTCGTTTGCGTTATTTCTTTATTTATTATTTTTTTTTTATGTGATGTAAAATCAGCCAACAGGGCAAAATCTGCTGCCACATTCTGAAAAAAATAAAAAATAAAAAGAGCTCCCACCTAACCCCATACGAAAGTTTATGAACCGTTTCGAACATAAAAATATAAAATGACTCCGTGACAAACAGATCACATAGGCTCTTTGGTGTTCGGTCTCTCCTCGAAACGACATACGTTGACCATGGGAAGCCTCACCGTCCCTACGGAACCTACCAACGCCATAGGCGCTTCCGAGTATCGCCGCCGGCGGCCGCGTTTTCTCTGCCTTCACGGTTTCCGCACTAGCGCCGAGATCATGAGGAAGCAGGTGTTGGGGAAGTGGCCGGATCTCGTCACCGCCCGCCTCGATCTCTTCTTCGCCGACGCACCGTTCCCCGCAGAGGGAAAATCGGAAGTCGAAGGCATATTCGATCCACCTTACTACGAATGGTTCCAATTCAATAAGGTGGCCGTTTCCCTCATCGTCGATCTTTCATTCGATTCTGTGATACGTCAAATCACTCTTTGATTTTTCCCTCATTTGGCAACAAAAATTAGGGTTTCACGGAGTTCAGAAATTTCGATGAGTGCCTTGACTACATCGAGGATCTGATGATCAAGCATGGCCCGTTCGATGGGTTGATGGGATTTTCCCAGGTGTTTTTTTTTGTTTTTATTGTATTCTTTCCCCAATTTTCGGAATATTTTCAATTTGGGTGTTGATTATGGGTGTATAATAACGCAGGGGGCGGCCCTCTCCGCGGCGCTGCCTGGTCTCCAGGCGAAGGTTAGGAGGGCTGTTCTTATTTTCCTGCACTTTCGAATTCGGACAGCTTAATTTGATGATTAAATGTTTTGTTTCTCATTTTGTTTGGTTTAAAATTACTAGGGCTTGGCTTTGAAGAGCGTGCCACAGGTGAAGAACGTTGTGATAATTGGCGGGGGGAAGATTCCTGTTCCAATTGTGGTGGAGAAGGCTTTCGATGTCAAGATAAAGTGCCCGTCCCTCCATTTCATAGGTATTTCGCATCTTCCTTAAAAAATAAAAATAAAAAAAATGCTTTCCTCCCCAAATCTTCCAGCCACTACTTCATGAACCTTCCTACGAATCTGCTGGAACAGAAAAAGGCACGCGGTTGTTGGAAATTGCGGGTGGAAGATAATCCAGCTCTTGGAATTTTTTTTTTTGGAGTCAAGAAACAAAAACAAATATCTATGAATCTTATTTAGAAAAACGTCTGAACTCTTTTTGGTTCAATATTCTAGTTTGTTTGACCTTTTAGCAAATAATAAAAATATACCTTAGCTTCATTAAAAATTTGCTATTTAGCAAGAGATAAATTTTGGGGTTAAGTAAGCTTTAGAACTTAGATTTTTTTTTTTTCCAAAAAGGTCGTGATTTAACAAGTGGATTAGAATTACCCAGCTTATAAGAATATATTTAAACATGCTTAATTTTACCCACTGAGGCTTAGTGGTTGGTGAGTGAGCATAGTTGGGAACCCCTCATCCCGGGTTCAAATCCCCTCTATTATGGGGGAGATTATTCAGTGCGGACAACGGATGGGAGAATCGTCCGGTTCCGCGTTGGGTACCGAGTGGTACCAAGTACTCGATACCGAGCGCCGTAATTTTTTGGGGTGACGTGGAGCATTTTTGTTGGTCGTCGAACGAATCCAGACCCGCACGTAATAATTTTTACTTTGGCCTCGCCTCTTCGGTGGGGCAAAACAAGCATGAGCCTGATGCTGATGGATGGTCTCGTTAGGTTCTGCCTACTAATTATTTACACCAGCCAAACTCCATTTGAAGTGGAATACCCCGTTCAAAAAAAAACATGCATAATTTTGGTTTTAAGTGTTTTAACCTACTTTTTTATTTGGTGATTCGCGCCACCTAACAGAAAAATTCTTTTGACTCGCCGGTGTGGGCATAGGACACCAAACAGTCCATTCTTAGCGAAAAATCTTAAATTAAAAAGAATAACCGGTGAACACTTGAAACATGTGATGCAATAAAGTTTTGAAGTATGTCACCTCCTCTCTTTTTTTTTTTTTTGTGACAATTAGGTCACTTTCATCGCATATGAAAGAGCTGCTTAAATATGCCTTGTCGTTTAATCTTATTAATTTTAGTTTATACAAATATTTTAACTGCAGGGGACTTGGACTTCTTAAAGGAGCGCGGCGAAGCTCTTTTGGACGCATTTGTGGACCCCTTTGTTGTCCGCCACTCAAGGGGTCATACCGTCCCCAGACTTGGTCTGTTTTTTTAATCATATTGTATCTGTGCATTTTACCAAGTATAAAAGGATGAAAATGCTTTTACAATAAACTATCATATGTAAGATGATTAAAACTAAATAATCAGTTATTAATATTTCGTTTCCATTATTAATTTGCACACTTGCGCTGCTGTTTTTCCAGATGATAAGAGCCTGGAAACAGTGCTAGGTTACATAGATCGGATTGAGAAGAATATGGATGAAGAAACTGAGCTCTCTCGCTCTAAGTGTGAGGAATCCATTGAAGCTGCTTGATGCTGATGTGCATAGGAATCCATTGAAGCTGCTCTATTGCAATTATAGACCTCAGGAACTTTATAGCTTGGATACCGTACGTATTTGATTATTCCATGCATGGAGCCATCTAAATTATCAATAAAGCTGGGTGCTCCAGTTGCTTGGGCTGGATAAGATTGTATAATTTCCACACATGTGGATATCTTGATTTCTATTTAAAAACTTGTCATAGGCTTCTGTAATGTGTTCCTATTTTTATGATACGTTTCATGCGTCAAATTGTCATATCATGCCTACTGCCAACTGTAGGGTATAAGGTTCATGTATTGAGTTCGGCTCTCGCTAGTTGCAACAATGAAACCAAACTCATTTTAAGTGACGCACTTCAAACGTTGATTTCTATTTTAGAGATCAAAGTTAATATCATTCAAAAGTTTAATTTGGTACTCCTGAAACAAATTTATATAGAGAAACCAAGCGATATTAAAATGGATTTAATTTGTTCAAATCAGAATGTCGAAATCTGATACGATTCAAAACCCGACCCGACTCCCGACCCAAAAAAATCCAGGTTTGGGTAACCCGGATCAACCCGTTTGTCATACGGGTTGGGTTTAGGTTTGTAATTCAAACCCGTTTTTAAACCGGATTAGGTTCGGGTTGACCCGGAAACTAGAAACCAACCAGCATTGACCCATTTGTCCGATCGTCGCGTCAATCATGCCAAACGTTAGGTCATGACCCGATGACCATGCCTTGTCTCCAGTCTCGCGACTTGCATCATGTCACGTCTTTGCTTCCTTCGACGACGGCGTTTGGTCGAGTTCGAGGCTTCAAACTGCTGCTACCTTTGATGGCTCTGAGCTGCCGTTGCCTTCGATGGCTCTCTGCCGCTGCCTTCGAGATGTCATCTGGTTGAGGTCGAGTTCAAGGCTTTGTGCTGCCGACGACGTCTAGTCGAGTTCGAGGCTTCGTGTTTCCGGCAACGGCATTTGCAGAACCGCATATGACTCTTGTAGCGAGGTTGATAGTTCGCATAATTGCAGATGACGCTTTTGCTCGCAGTTTGTGTCGGGTCGGGTCAACTCAATAATCTGCATGTGTCGGGTCCGGTTTGACATTCCTGACCCATTTACAAAATTAGGTCGGATTAGTGTCAACCCATTTACGGCTGAGTCAAGTCAGATTCGACCCAAACCCGATCCTTGACCTGAATGGTCACCCCCTTTAATTTGTTATGCTCACAAGGTATTTAAGAAAACGGGACCTATTAAACGTACTTTTTGTCGGTTAGGTTTTCTTTTAATTATATTCCTGAAAATATGTCTCTGTAATGAATACTCATATCGCTTATTTTTTCATATTAGCTGGGATGATTTCCCAACAGTTAATGCGTCGGGAGGAGATTGAGATCTCCCTCCTCCAACGAGGAACATCACACAGTTCCTGACCTAATTTTTTTCAGTTCTAGAAGAATTTCTTCATAATAAGTACTTAATATTAAGAATATCCTTTCTTATTTTTTATTTTATTGGGAACGTATCTACCTACTGTCACTCCTAAAAGAGACACATAGCAACGTAACTAATCTTTCAGTGAGCCTATCAGCAACCAAAGATACAGAACCACAGTTGTTTTTTCCCCATCTAAGGCTTCGTTTGGGACGGCTTTTTACTGCTTTATAAAACGGAGTTTTAGTACAAAATTTTTTATTTTTGTATTAAAAATCCGTTTTAAAAAACAATAAAAAAATCATCCCAAACGAAGCCTAAGTCACACCATAAAGAATATCTTCATATCAGTACCTAACTTTTTATGCATACATGCATGAATTTATAACGTAGGCATTAAATTTTATAGGTGAATGCTTCAAATAAATTAGGTGATTTTTATGCTTTTCATTGACCAAATATTTATGAACGAATCGTCTGATAAGACGGACTTCAAAAATTTTCCGTCAAAATTTGGGAATATGTTAGGTGATTTTACATAAACTTGGTAGGTTTGCATTAATTTGGATAGCCATATAAATTGGCAAACAAAAAATTAATTGACATTAAAGCTTAAAAGTTAAAACAATCTTAATGGTTAAAATACTTTTTTTTTGCAAATTCTAAAATGAGTAATTGTGTTATTATACTTATGAATGTCTAACAGTCAAATTGTATTACATAATAATTTTTTTTGTATTTATCTAATAGTTTAATTATATTATATAATGATTTATTGTAATTAGAAAAAATAGTAAAATACATAATGTGTGAAATAAAAATATATTTTATAAAAGTAGTATCATTTTATATTTAAGTATATGAGCATAATTTTTTTACATAAAATTATCATTACAATAAATGATCATGAGAGAGCTAGTGAATGCTTCGCTTTTATGTAAGCGGTGGTCTGAAACTCTGATACCAATTTCGGGGCTCGAAACTTTCAAAATTGCTCGTCCTTCTGCGCCACCTGACGGAACATGAGCGACCAGACCGCGACTGCTTTCCAAGAAAAAGAAATACTTTAGCCCGCCCAAGAGCCTTGATCTCTCGTGCTTCTAATTTCCCATTGGACTCTCGACGCCGCTAGAGTCCAATCCATACGTTACTTGGCCCCGGCTGCTCCGCATTCATGAAAAGTATGGTTAATGTGTTTTTGGTTGCTTGTGTAGTTTTTTAAGTTCTTATTATGTAGGATATCTGATTCTTGGTTCCCGTCACTCTTGCAATCGGTGCATGTGTAGTTTCTATGGAGACGGTAAGGACTTTGTTTGGGATATGGAGTGTTGGAGAAGCGACGAAAGCAGCCGAGAATCTGAGCCTGAATGTTTTCCAGCATTGTGAGTTTTTTATTTTTATTTTATTTTATTTTAATGTCTTCTTTTTGAGGTTTTGCGAGCTGCTTTGGGTGTAAAATCATTTTCTATGTTGTCGGCTTTCTAAATGGCACTCGAGAGGAGTGTATAAGCCATTATTTTGTGTTTGTTCTTTTGGTGATTGATAGACAACACACCTCTGCACAAATTTGGCTATATCATGCTATATTTGGGCTTGTAAAATTGATTTTCAATGGTATGAACATATTGGTCTTGTATGATAAATTCACGTAGCGTCATCTTCAAAATGCACAACTGATTCTTTAATTAAGAATCCTTGTTGAACCTGATAATCATTAGCGTTGTGTTGTTGATTATATTTGTTCCAAATTTCAATTAAATCTTCATCATTAACAGATAAATCTTTGAGAGCTTCAAACCGCAACAATTCATGAGTTATAAGGTATATGAAGTAGATGGCCACGCTAACTTAGAGCACTGGTTGTGTGGTTAAGGTTCGTACTTTATATTTGCAGAGGAAGATGATCTTTTAAAGAAAGAGGACCTACAGGCATGCTTGTTGGAAATATTCTTTTAGGAGTTAATGTATTGGAGGGATTGATGATCTCTATGCAGGATAATTTTCTTTTGTATTAGATAGTGCTCCTAATGATATAATGCTGGTATAATAACATATAAATTTTTGCTCAGTGGTTGTCCAGTTTTACTTAGCGTCGTCTAACTTATGGCTGATATATTTGATGGGTAGACCCTCTTAAACAAGCATTATCCCAATTCTTGTTGTCCAGGCATCAGTTGACCTTCAAAAATCCATTTGAAGTTAGGAAGGGCTAGAATAGGAGCAGAATTAAGCTTCTCTTTAATAAAGCAATTCTAACATAAATATGTGCCATGATAACACTAATGCCTTGAAAAAATCTTCCATATAATATTGCCAAACTATGAAGACTTCCAATGTTATTAGATATTAGTATGTTTTAATCAATCATTAATTTCTTTTGTTTTTTTTTTTTATGTTCAATAGATATTCCTTCACTTAATACTACAAATCGTTGCACCAAATGTTCCTCTCTGGCCTTATTATTTATCAAAATATCCTTAAAAAATACCACTAGAAAATATCAGATTATGTTAGCAAGATACAATAATTAAATCAAAAGCAAGTAGTATGCTTCTAATCGGTAGCAATTTATCTACAAGATCGTACATATATAAATATTTGAAATCAAACAGCACTTTATTAATTTTAAGATTCTTGGGAAAGTTCTTGAGCTTTCTTGAGCTCTTCTTGCAAGAGAGGAAGAGGGAGAAGAGGGAATAGAACAAAATTTTGGAGGAAAATCTAACATAAAGCTTTATGCAAAATTTTCCCAAATTATACATCACATATAATCTCTATTTATAGATATTTATGTTGTTGTGGTAATCGCAAGATAAACATATCCTAAAACAGAACCAATACCTAACAATCTCCACCTTGGTCCAAATTTTATAATCAAAGAACCATCTGCGTATTTGCTGCAATCTAACTTCAAGAACAATCCCGCTCGCGAACGATCTCCACCATGTGTTCCAATCTACGACATCAACTCGCGCTCCAGCACAGACTCGCCAGTCTTCCTCGGACACTCCTGCGCGCTCAACCTACGACCTAGCACTACACCTTTTCGATTCCAAGTCTGCGACCCAACTGTCGCCCCGAGGTTCTTAATCTTTCCTGAATTTATCCACTGTTCCAACACACAACAGTTAAATGTTCCTTCTCACCGATCAAACCCACAATCTGACCCCCGAAAGCTCCGTCTCAAATATCTTCACCAAAACCATAGCCTATACTATCTTTGAAATGATATGGATCTGGAACAAAGTCTGGGATGTTAGTGTTTCGAGTAAGCATTTTTATTACACTTGACATTGAAGGCTTATGACCTGGTGATGAAGGTGCACATAGAATAGCCACCCTGATTAGGGGAGTCAATTTCGGGTCATGGGTCGGGTTCGGGTCGAACCCGAAATTGACCCGGCACTATTCGGGTCAACCCAAACCCGACCCATTTTTGAAAACGGGTCAGTTTTCCTGACCCGAACCGACCCGCTTCGGGTCCGGGTCAACCCGACACGACCCGATTGACCCGTTTTCAACAAAAAATTGCTAGTTTACGGGTCAAAAATGGGTTATCTCCTCTTTTTTGGGTCAAAAAATGGGTCAATCTCGGGTTTACGGGTCAAAATCGGGTTTTCGGGTCAAAATCAGATCAATTTCGGGTCAAAGGGTTAACCTGAACCCAACCCGATTTTTGAAACAGGTCGAAATGTTGAACCCGAACCCGACCCGTTTCGGGTTCGGGTTGACCCTAACCCAAAATTTTCGGGTCGAGTTCGAGTCGGATTTTCGGGTCGTGTCAAATATTGACACCCATAACCCTGATCATTCCCAAAGCTTCAACCTGATTGTATTGGTTTTCCAATATCTTATTAACAAAAGACAGTATGTCCTCTTTATCTTTTGCAAAATGTGTCATGTTCAGAAGGTGATAATGGTCTTCATTCATATAGCTCGAGACACACTTCCCAGTTACAATCTCCAATGAAGCAAATGCCAAAGATGTAGGCATCTATCTTTTATGTGAAATAGCCCCTTGTTGCATATTCAGGTGTCATATTTCCATTGAAGAAGAATTTTTGGCTGCTTTGGAGAGCTCCGTCTAAATCCAATGAACAAATCATGCTCTGGCTTCTTTCAATTCGACCTCACGGAACAAGCTAGCACGGGGGACCTTCTATTCGCCTCCGTCCCCCTCCTACACTGAGTCCGACTGCACCCAAGCAAACCAAGAAAGGTCTCCCGTCCGATTTCTGCCAACCCGAATAACACCAAGTCGCTGATTTTCCGCCGCCTCCTCTGTGGATTTGAGTACTCTACGCGATACCGTCATGACCTGACCCTGCTTCTACCTCCTCTATGTGCAACTTCGGCTTCACATCCCACACGAAATCGAACCCAGTCTACCTCCAATTCTTTAGTCAAACCAAGCCTTTGTCCAGTCTGAGCCCTCCGCCTCCTTTGTGCGAATAAGGCCCGAGCCCTGCCTCCCTTGAAGCACTACCCTTTTTTCTTTTTACATGTATCTCCATGGTCAATAATTTTCAGTTCACCTTCATATCTCCCATAGTTTGTAGCCACTTCATCCCCATAATCATATCCGTACTTCTCAAATCTAGGAGAAGGAAGTCTTCCACCACTTGAATATCCAGTAAGGTCATCACCACTCCTTTAAATGTTTCCCTGCTCCTTTCTATCTTGCATGTTCCCATCATAACCCCACATCCTTTCATCCTCACTAACTTTAACTCAATCAATTCACCACCCAATTTGAGATGAAGTTATATATGTTGCTCAACTATCCACCAAAACTATCACAAATTATTCTCCAATTTGTGCCTTTACTTCCATGGTATAATTTGGAGTAAATCCCACCACAGAGTTCAAGGATACCTCTACCACATCCAAATACAATTGCCTTTTATCCTCCAATACATCCTCCAACTCGTCCATGCTCTCCTCTTCCCCTTCAGAAACCATCAAGACCTAAAGGGCTCGAGTCTTGCACCTATGCCTGGGTGTAAATCTCTTATCACACCTGAAGCATAACCTTTTTGACGCCTATCCTGTGTAGAAACGTATAACCCGACGGTACAGAGGAAGAAGAAGAACAAATGAAAACTTTATTAATATTTTTTCTTCCATTGTTTACAGATATACAAGTGTATTTATAGAGCTGCATATAAGATAGGTACACGTGTCGGCTAATGATAGGATAGCAATGTGAATTAAACCAGTGGTTCTTAACATCCTGCACTTCGGTTTCTGTGAAGCATTTGAAATTGTCTCTAGGACGAACTCTAGTGCTCTTCTCCTTAGATGTTTCTCTCTGAAATGACACCATCTAGGTTCTCGGTGCCAATGTTGTAGAGGTGTTACTATAAGCCCTTTCCATGGGGTTGCTCTGGCTGGCCTTCTCCCTTTGATGTTTCTCCTCCACGCTCCACCCTTTGTGTTAGCTCCATTGTCTCTATCAGCCCTCTAGGCCTCAGCTCCCTGAGCTCTGCCCTTTTGTCTTCCCTAAGGCCCTTCATGAATTTTCTTTTCAACCCTTAAAAATTCCCCTCAGTTCCTAATAACAACTCAAACTTCTCCCTTTACCCCATGACAGTACCTTCTTGAGTTAAGCATAGAATTGTTCGTAGAGGTCCCCTACCCGAATAGCTTGGAAATGTTCCAATAAACAAACCATAAATTCTCCCCAAAATAGATCACATATCTAGCTTCTCTCCACTAAAAACAAGCTAGGACTTTTTAGTCCAAACATAGTCCTGCCGCCATGAGTTTTTCTCCTTCTATTTGACCATTGATCGCAAAGTAATGCTCCACCTGGTACACACAATCTTGAGCATTTTCTCTTTCAAAAATCGGCATTTTTAACCTTCTCGACCTCGTATCCATACTCCATTGGTTTCTTCATCCGTTAATTTTTCCTATATAGTGGTGGTGCGATTCTTTCCATTCCTCCCTGACCCCACCATTGCTTCCATCAGTTCACCTTCCTCCCTGCCTGGGTGATCTCCGAAAGGGTTCGGTCTGCCCCCTTCCTGCTACCATTTATTCTCGACACCCCGATGCAGCTCCCCTTGGAATCCCTCCGGGTGGTCCTTCAGGGAAAATGCTCTCCACTTCATTATCTTCCACCTAAGCTTTCTTCCCTTTCCAATCAGCTCTAGGAGTAGCTGGCGAAGCCTTCGATTGCATCTCGATCAATGTTTTCATCATGCCTTATATGTTTCCAAAACGACTTTCCATGGAGTAAAACCTTCCCTCCATTTCAGAAAATTTTCCTCCATCCCGGAATCTTTCTCTTGCATCTCGATCCTAAGTTGTTCCATCTTGCTCTCCAAAGCTTCCATATTATTTGCTTTCATTCACAGAATCCGCAAAAAACAACAAA